AGCGGGTGTTTAAGACCAATTATTATTATGATGCTTTATTGACTAGAGATTCAGGTACAAACCACCTTAAGGCATATCTCAATTTGTTTACGTTGCGGGGTGATGATCTGTGTCCGCATACAATGTTGCACGAGTTTGAAAAGGCAACATCGGTCTTTTCGACCATAGGGAGCCTAGTAACGTTAGTCTTTTTTCGTCTATCATACGCGACGAATATTACATACGAGACAATCACGAACGAAACGAATGTTTTTCGAGATTTCTTATTAAGTGAAAGTAGTGAAGATGGGGTGAGTGATTGGGTAGAAGATTTGGAAATTGATTGTGGAGATGTAGAAATAGATGAAGAGGAAACAAGCGAAGCAAACGTATGTATTATTTACTTATGATTTTTAGAATGCAATTTCTAATTCGAGAAAAGTATACAAATATAATTTATTTGGGAGATCATAAATTTATAAATATATTAAAAAAGAAATTATAAATACAAGCTGAAAAAAATAACAAATCCAAAATTATTTTTTATTATAATTGACCGAAGGCAGGGATTGATATCGTAGATGAAATGAAAAAAACATACTGTGTTGCAAAAAAGTGTAATGAATGGTCACTAAGATTATTTGTTACAGTTTTAAATATTACTCGAATTAGCGCCCAAATAATATTAAAAGTAAGTTTGTTCGGCGTTACTTTCTATAGGAACTTTATTAATTTAATTTAAAGAAAATGTACATGTTAGGTCACAAATTACGAGTCTACCGTATACCGTGAAAAGCGAAATACAAAATATAATAAAGAAACCAAATGAAGAATGAGCAATACATCCTGGGACATGTTACTTTTGTAGTTCCAAAAAGAATAGAAAAACAATAAAACAATGTATTAAATGTAAAGCATTTATCTCTAATGAACATACAGTTTACTTTTGTAATAAATGTAACAATGGTGCGAGTGAATCTAACTTGTTAAGCATGGAATAATTAGTTATTTAATACCAATTTTATCATGAAAAATGAAAATTATTTATGTGATCCATTTCTCAGATAAATAAAATATAATATTATTATAGGTTATTCATACTATTTTAGTAATTTTATTAAGTTATTTCACACTATGTTAATATCGGTCAAAATGACTGACGCGCCTACTAACAGAAGTGTAGTTGGTGCGCCTACTCCCGGATTAACCGAGCGGTTGAAAGTGTCGAACCACGATGTATTTGAAACGTTTGAAACAACCGAACAATAAATGAACCGCTTAAAGCAGAGACCCTACCCTAACTGCTTTAATCACAATTTAAAAAATGACGGTATAAGAGTTAATATCTTTGTGTGAATGATTTTGGTTAGGAATAACCATTATAAATGATTAAAATTTTTGGTGTTTACCAATAACAATTATCGATGACGGAAACTTTCTTTGGTTGCGAATAACCATTATTGGCTACGGAAATTATATTGGTCACAAATAACCATTATCATAGTAATTGTTTTGGTTGCACGTAACCATTATCGAAAATATTATTTTGGTTACCAATAACCATTATTAGTGACAGGAATTTTTTTGGCTACGCGACAACCTATATTCATGACGAGAGTTTGTATTTTGGTTACTTTCGAATATTGTCAATTTTTATTAGCGTTACTTTCACTAACGTATCTATATTTTAACTGAAAATATATAAATTCTATAATTCATTTTGCGTCACTGATAGATACTTCAATAAAAATAACGTTAATAAGAACTGTCGATAGATGAAAGTAACTTACGTGCAACAAAAAACAATTTCCGTCATTGATAATGGTTATTTATAACCAATATCATTTTCGTAGCCAATAATGGTTATACGCAACCAAAAAAAATTTGCGTCATCGATAATTCTTATTGGTAACCAACAAAAATTTTGATCATGTAAAATAATTATTCGTAACCAGAATGGTTCAAAATCCATGTTTTTTAATCACATCATTTTTTGAAAAGTTTCTTCGAGATTTATTAATATCTGGTTTTCATGTAAATAAAAATTACTTTCTGCTCAATGATTTTTTTCCAAAAAATGTTTCAAATAACTGTTATTTTTGGTCTCTGGTTTAAAGATCTCGTCTGGAGTGCAAACATGCCTGAACATTATGATTGCCCATTACTACATTGGACGCGATGGAAGTGGAATTATGAAACAGAGGTGAATAAAACCGAATAAGGCGATGCGGGTGGGGGGAGCGGGTGGAAGCGCGGGACTAGCAGCTGTTCGTAGACTCCGGCCGCCATTACGAAAGCCTCCTCGGTATCACTGACCTCGTTGCTTGCCGCCGCAGTAGGGAAACATACCTCGGAACAGAACGGGCGTCTAGAAAGGCTTCGTTGTTTACGAATCGGAACTACCGATATCGCACGACGGAATAACAACTGGTGATGATCACTGACTTCCGGTCGGAAAGCGGCAACCGTTCGAATTTTGAACAGAACACCGTAGTGTAATATCCACGAGCAAGATCATAAGCGTATACAGTACCGGACAAAAGTATTTGTACACCCTTTAAAATGGAACTTCTTTAAGATTGGTCCAAATGACATCAGTTCTTTTGTGAAGTTAGAGATATTAGTTTACTAAATGATGTGTAAAGAAAAATTGAAAAAGTTGCAATTGGTCGGAATAGCCAAGAAAATAGTAAAGGTCGTTTTTACAAATTTTTAATCTGACTCCGTAATGAAAATGTAATAAATACATATCAATAATTTATTTTAGTTATATACATGTTGGAAATTCCATCAAAATTGATTAACGTTGCTACGAGATACAAGCGATTAAAAATGTTGAAAAATCAGTTTTTCCCGACTTTCGACTTACAACTGTTGTAAATCTAACAATTCTTACATCTTTTGATGTCTGTCGCGCGTTTTTGTATCAACCGATTTAAATGAAAGTTTCATTATGTGTGTAACTAACATAAATCTTCGATATGTATTTGTTAAATTTAAATTAAGTACCATTACTTTTCTATACGCCTAACAAAATTTTTATTAAGGGCAATGTATTTGTTCTCGACACTCTTTTTTGTGAATTAGCGTTTTAAAATTTGAATTTATATAGACAAGAATGGAATACTAATTAAAGAACAGCTTGGAGCACATCTTTCATCTAAATAAAAGAGTTGCGATAAAAGGAATAAAAAATAAAAGATGAACACTTCTTATTTATAAAATAAGAATAATATTTCTTTTTGGACGAGTTGACACATATCCGAAAAAGAAACACGTAGATACTATCCTTTTTCGTTCTGCATAGATCAAATATAACTGTGCTAATTTCTATTAATAAAATCACTTATTATGATTTATATATACATCTAAATATATTTTAAATGTTATATTGAAATGTTTGTTAAATCTGTAATAGTCTAGTTGGAAATACCACAGACATAATTAGTCAACGATTATTTTACGAAAGTGGTATTTATGTTTCGTGGTACCTTAAATATATATATAAGGTACCACGTGCTTTAAGGTATCACGAAACATAAATACCACTTTCGTAAAATAATCGTTGACTAATTATTAGACTGCGGATTTTTATCCAAAATCACATTTCAGAAGGTTGTTCATAAAAACAAACACAAAAATCGGAATTTCTTTCTTCCTTTAAGTATCTTATTCGGCTGAAACGGAAATAGAAAACTCGTTGCACCTGACGAAAGTTTTGTCCTTCATTGTATTTCACAGAGACCTATAGGCTATAAATGCATAAAATCCGCTGTCTACTAATTACGTCTGTGGTATTTCGAACTAGATTATTACAGATTTAACACGCATTTCAATATAACATATAAAAAGGTAATAACAATTGAAGCAGTCGTATACTTTCAGCCGACAGTGCATGTGGGACACGTGTCTTTCATAATACAGTAATTATGTAAGAGATTGCAATACGTAATACAAATATTTTTCAATCTACGGTTCTCGTGATAAAACATTAAACAGCCGAAGGCTGGCCGCGATTAGAAATTTCGCTGACGTATTTTCACCAGCGATCAAAGGCGAGCATTCTATTCTCCTTTGAAGCCGTAGAAACGATGCAAACAGTGATTCCCAATAGAACTGTATACCTTCGAGAGATAGTGTAAATAATTACCGAGGTCAAAGTCAAGGGGTAACGATGCGTAACGCCTGTTCATAAACGGAATAGAAATGGGAAGAACCGGTAAACGTTTCCACGATAGAGAGACCACGAGATAAAAGCATAGGGTAAGTGTGGGCATTACTACGAATGCGCGATTACTGCGGAGATTCATAAAACAAATAATATTTAATGTTGAAAAGTACATAAGTTCTTGAAGATTAATGATAAAATTATTTTAAACTTTATTACAAATAATTATTAGTAAATATATACAGCAAAGTTATTATTAATTCTTTTATCGTAGTTTGAAAGTCGTCAAGACGAAGCTTTGATCGATTTCCCAATCTGACGGTTCCGAATGCCTATTTACATTTACAGTTTGTTTTTAATTTCTATTTCTCCTCGCAGTATTAAGTGCAGTACTTTACACCACGTGTGTTTATTACTGCGGACAGGTAACTGCGTAATCTAACCTATTTTCGACCGTATTTACTCGCTTAAAAAATAAAGCTACAGGGTTCTTACAAATAAAGTTAAATAATTTTTCTATTTACAAGATATAAGTAGGTATTTATACTAATATTTTGCTTAACACAAATCTACAATAATATGCGGTATTGCGTTAGTAACTGGCACACAGTAATGCATGCATGTCCGCAGTAATTCCTGCAATGGGATATGGTTTTCATTTCTTTGATTTCTATTATATCCATCTATTAAATACCCCGTTCTCATTTTTTTAAGCAATTAATATCATGAAACTTTCCTAAAACGAGGGACTTTCATTAATTTGAACGCTTTATCGAGCACTTTAAAATTAACCTATCCTAAAATTCCGCAGTAGTACCCACACTTACCCTACATACGAAACGCAGTAACTCACCTAACGTTGGAAGAGCTTCGCTGTACGTCCCCGACGGGCCTCCTGGTGACGTCCGTGTTCGCCTCCGCAACAACATTCTCTTCCTTCTGCCTCTCTTCTTCCGGCGGATGCAACGGAATTATGATATAATCCGGCTCCTTTTTACTCTGGCCGTCGGTCACCTTCTCGCGATTCACATGACCGAGCGATTCATTTTTTTTCTGCACCTCCGACCGCGGCACTTTTGATCTACCACTGAACCGTAGCCTCGAAAATCTCTGAAGGAACCCACCGAGTCCACCCTTCTTCCTTTCCTCCTTGACCGTAGTCGCGGAGGAAGCATCGACCACCATGCCTCTCTGGTACCTCAATGGATCCTTCGTCGGCGTTGGCGAGACGCTGGACCGTTTTGTGGTCGTCGCCGGCGCCGACATAGTCGCGTCTTCTACCCTGACCTCTGCAGTTGTTGCCCGCGCGCTCTCCTCGTAACGTTTGTCGTGATCACCGCGATGATTCGTATCAACTACCACAGCCACAACTGGATTCCCACTCCGTTCACTGGATTCCAGGCCGTCGCTATTGCCTCTACCGCTAGGTGGGGGGAAACGAACACCGTGGACAGTGTGTCCCCTCGCTGCTTCCGCTGCCTCCTCCTTCTGCCCTTTCTCTCTCTCTTTTCTTTCCTCCTCCTCCTCCTTCTCCAACTCATTCATTTCTTCCTTCTTCTTCGTGGTAACCTTCTTCACGGAAGCCTCTTTCTCCACGGTCTGCTTTTCCACCACGACCCTCCAGAGTCGTTCTCCAGCGTCCTTGTTACACGGCGAGGAACGCTCCTCGTTGCCGATGTTTCCGTCGCTTTCAACTTCTGATAGCCGTTCCTGATACTCCTCCGGTTGCTGTAAACGTTCGATTTTTTCCGGATAATAGTCACCGATGTACGGTCTTTTCGATGAATTTGCCTTTTTGGTGGGCTGTTGATCGGTGTCAGGGATCTTCGGTGTCACACCCGAAGTCCCAGTTTCGTGTCTAAATACAGGGGATTGTTTCTTAGATTCGTGGGCGTTTGTTTCTTCGCGCGATACGCCCCCATCTAGGCTGAAAGCTCCTACGGGTTTGGTTTCCAAGCGGGGATAATCTACCTCGTCGTCTACTACGGATTGCCCATTACGATCGTCTCCATAGGTTGAAAATGGATCCGAGTTTTTTTTTACCTGAATCAACAGAGAATCTTCTTCTTGCTTCTTCAACCGTTCGCCCAGCTGATTGATCGAGACCCTGGTGAATGGTCCGTTTGAGAATTGCGAGAAAATATCCTCTGTCGATTTGGAATACTTTCTCGTGACCATATACGGTTCGTGGACGTTCAGATTCGATGTCGAGTTGCTGCCCATCTGTTGCACGAAGTCGGTGACTTTGAACTGCGAGGATCGGCCCGATACTGGCTCCTCGAGCTCGTCACACGCGTCCATTCGCTGGAAAGCACCTTTAGAGGACTGAAGAGCTTTTATGTAGTCGCACTGTTGGGCTAACTCGTAGCTAGCGTTATTCAACACACGTCTCCTACCACTGGAAACACTCTTGGGAGACTTTGAGCTCGGTTCACTGTCATTAGCACTCTGCTTGCGGAATCGATTTGGTCGGAAGTTTCGTTCGTCGATCTCGTACTGCTGAGCCAGCTCGTAACTAGCGGTGTTCTTCACCTTCTGGGCTCGCAATCTACCGGAGAGTGTTCTCCGAACGCCGTCCACGTTCGAGCTCTCCGTGTTCTTACTGTTCAACACGTTAGCTTCTGCGACCTCGCGTTTGAACTGTTCGATTGCTTCGTCTATCGCGCCGATGTTGTTCTCTATGGCGATGGCCATGTCGAGTACACAGTTCCCACGATCCTGTGTCTTCACCGTTGTGGTCACTGGCTTCTTCTCGCGCGGCTTCGAGCAGTGATCGCCCAGACACTGCTCCGCGTCCCCCGCGTTTCCTTCGATCTTCTCGCGGTTCATCTTACCGTCGACCAACACGCTCTGAGATGCCTGCGTTCTTACCGAGCTCATCGGGGCGTCCATCATCTGTTGCTCGGTATCCTCCTCGTTCCCGTTCCGTCGGATCGCCTCGACGTTTTCCACCCGTTTATTCTCGTGCGCCTTCCTTATTTCCGCCATTTCGTGATCGTGTGGGCTCACTTCAAGATACTCGAGATCATCGTACGCCGTGGAGAAACCGCAGAGATTCAGATCGACTGGCACGCTGGCCACTCGGGTGTAATTCTCGAATAGATTCGATGTCGAAACAAAAGACGTTGCCCTTGAGGAAGTGCGCGCCGCCAACGACCGTGGATCGTGTGCGAAGTCGTCGATCCTGCTAGGCAGACTGGGCGCGCTTTGAGATTTATCCGTGAATCTAAAATTAAAGCACTCCTCCTTGCTCCACCCTTGACGCTGGTGGTGCTGGTGCTGCCGCGGCTCGTGGTGTTCGTACTCGTAATACTGCTGCTGCTGCTGCTGCTGCTGTTGCGGCTGTTGATGATGGTGATGGTGATGATGATGATCGGCAACCGTGTTGTTGCGACCGCGCACCATACTACCGGCTATATTTAACTTGGTCTGCAGCAGACGAAACGAACTCGAGACGGCCGCCTGGCCAGACTTCAGATCCAACAGCGCGTCCCTTTTCGACTCAACGCCGATCTCTCGCAAATCAATCGTGTTTCTGTAGTCCACGGACGCTGCGTAGTTGCATGTCTGGTCGCCAAATACCATCAATCGATCCTCGATCTCCGAGCCCGCGCGATTGTCCTTCACCAGTCGATCTTCCTCCTCGTCGAGGTCTTCTTCCTCCTCGTCGAGGTCTTCTTCGTCTTCGTCGTCCTCGTACTCTTCGTCTTCGTGCCAGAAATCTCTGATTCGAGCGACAGAAAAATTATTTGTTGTTTGATTCACGATTAGAAGTCCATTTAAATAAGTAAAAGGAACGCTTAATGTTATAAACAGAAAGAAAACCTGAGTGTATGTGTTGTAAAGGGTATACAAAAATTGTGTCGTAACTTCCAGGGGTGAATCTACACGTTTAGATCGATGGACGTCTGTAAAAAAAACTTTACGCAGAATTGTTTATAACATCGAAAATTAACGTTAAATTTTTGTTTTACATCAACATACTAAATTTGTCAACATGACAAAAAGTTCAATAGAAGCCATATGCTGGAAACAAATACTCTTAGAGAGTTTGCACGGTTTTCTGTCCTTTTAAGGTGGATTCTACCTTGTGCGGCTGCAATGTAGGTGTTTTTTGCGAATTATCTGCACAAAAACTGTTCGACAGATTAATTCGAACTTAACCTGATTTTGTTATTGTCTTTAACTATCGTTCTAAATATTGTTCTAAGTGTGAAGGCCTAGCAGAAAAAATATTGTTGATACAGAGTGATGACTGGGGGCGATGAACAAAGTGAAGTGTTACTGGCGTTGACAAAATGTATCCCAAGAATTATTTGAAACAAAAAAGAAAAAGGAATTCTTAATCTGTATAAGTCTGGCCATGATATTAGATCCATTAAAAAGAATGAAAACTTGTTAACTTGTAAAAACTGGCTGACTTCTGCAGAAAATGAGTGGAATTTCGCCCAAAAGTCAGGAAATTTTCTTTGAGTGGGAATTCTAGTGTAGACGGCCGTTTTCACCGTGATTTATGGAAACTAATTTAAAAAAAACTATCAAACCTTGCAAGCTCTGGCATTGCATATATCTTTATATATGTTTAAAGTAAAACCACAAATTTTCAATTGTAAAATAAAAACATAAAATATTATTTTTATGACACATTTTATTAACAATTATAGCTATAAATAGTCGTGCTGGTCATGTTGCGATAAACTTGTCTCAATGGGCGCATAGATTGCGTCCGTCCTAGTCGTCTAAAAGAAATAAACAACATTGCGTTTTATCGTCCATGAATATGGCTATTGTCCGGCCTAGGATAAATAATCTGAAAAAAAACTAACAAAATTACAGAGCTTTGAAAATGAAAGTCTGATTTGTACCGAAAAATTGTTATTTCTCGTGTCCTAAAAAATAGTGTTTTTCAAGATATCGAAAAGTTTCAAGGTCCGGCGATAGCCAGAAATGTACTCTATTCGTGAGTCGAAATTTGAAGTCAATCGGTCCAGTGGTTCCGAAGCAAAATATGCGCCCGTCATAAAACATGGTTTCGAGAAAAACGCGTTTAATGTATGCAGTATGTGGGCCGTCATTTATTCTTCTATAGGTTCGACATATTTACGAATTTGCATTTGCTCCCTGCCCCTGGACAGAAAAAAGTAGTTTTTGCCCCACCCTACAAGAAAAAAAATTACAATTTTTATACAATTTTTGCGTAATATTTAATATTGCAGTATAATTTGAAACAGCCCGTATTCAAGGTCATGTTCAGTCAGGAGGCCGAAAAAAGAGTGTTCTTTAGGAATTTTTTTCTCGAAAACTGTAAGACCTTTTTCAAAAAATTTGTTTGTGTTTCAAAGATTGCAGTTTCTAGATTATAAGGTAATTTTTTTATTTAAAAATATTTATTAGTAAATAAATGGTGAGCGCTCTCCCGGATGTCTCTTCACAAAAAATGGTCTACCGTGATCACTGTAACTTCGTAACGGTTCATTTGAAATTAAAAATTCAGTAAGATTTATGTAATGGAAGAACCAATCTTGTCTTTGAACGTGGGGTTTTTTGAAATATTGATTAGGAACAAAATAGCGGACGTTTTCCTGAATAAGTGCGATTTTCACCTAAAAAATCACTCGTTTTTGGTCAATTAAAAAAAAAGTATGGAACGAACAAAAGAATCCTTCGTTCAAGGACAAGTTTTTCTGATATGAAATAAGGCGCAAAAGGCTTCATGTAAATCAACACAGTAGTTTTCGAGAAATATTGATCACCGATTTGAAAAATGTAGTTTCGAGAAAAACGCGTTTAAAGTTTCAAGTCAAGCTTACACTTATATAAAATGTTCATTTTTTAACGCCTGTAACTCTGTCATTTTTAATTGGATTACCTTGAAACTTGCACAGAATATTCTCGAGATGTATTTAAAGAAAATGTAGAAAGCAAAAAATCGATTTCTTGAAAACTTCTGACTGAGCATGACATCTTAACAAAACGCAGCCATTTTCAACGATTAATGACTTTAAAAACAAAATAAAGTGTGTCTGGCTACGTACAGCCTTTTTTACTGTGTTGATATTTTTACCCCCCCCCCCCCCCCCCCACCCTGACTGATAACCTGGCTACGCCCATGGGCACACCTACCACTATACCGTGTTTCAACTACGCAGCTAGATACAAAGTGTAGTAGGTTCTAATCTATGCGTATAACTCTATACAATCAAACCGTTGCTAGAACTTTATCAATTTATATCTTGAAAACTATTTGCAGCGCATGACTCTTTTTGAACCTCGTCCTTTCTTGACGATAAGAATATGTTGATGTAAACAACAAATGTAATATTAAATTTCAATGTTACAATTTTTGTTACAAATATCCACCGTTCCAGGTGTGTAAATTCATACCTTCAGGACATGACCATTACTTTTTGTACACCCTGTACAATAAAATGGCAAGAAGTATTCGAGAAATGAAAGCCTCCTGAAATCTCTTGTTTCTCTATCCTATATTTATTTCGTGAATGAAATCCTCACAGGTCGAAATCCAAAAAAATTGCAAACGCACACGTCTATTCATCAGAAGGGTCACAAATACACCACGAATGTACATCAATTTAACTACACTAACTACACTAAACAAAAATAGACATAATGTTTTTCTTAGAAAAAAATACTTTTGACATCATGCAGTGCATCACTCGATAGTGATTTTCAAGGTCATTGTTTCAATCAATGATAGTCGAATTGGGATAAATTTCTCCAATCGTGCACATTTTCATTGCTGTTGCGTGAATGTGTGCAAGATAATCGGGAACGTTGATGATGATGCTGTGCAAGACGACGATATTCGGACATTCTGATGTCATCCATGGCAACTAACATTTCGATCACCTTCGTTTGCACTACCCCCCGGGCTCAATACTTAACTTCAAGAAGTGGAAACAGTATTGGAGACTTCCAGGAATGAAGAACGTGGAATAAAATTTGGTCATACAGAGTGCTTGGTTTTAGAGATAACCGAATTAAATTTTAATAACACTGTTCAACACGATTTTTAATCTGCAATATCCATTGGGAGATCCTTTTAGAATTACTCGTCCAGATCACGAATCCGGAGCAGAATTTCTCAATCTCCCGTAAATACACCGGATTTTGTAATTGTAGAACAACATTTTTCCGTATAATGCTTCATATTACAGATAATCAAATTCCACAATCTGCTCGATACGCGTGCGGTGGGATAGACTCGACCAACGCGTCTGTTCATTACGTTCCGTTTCTACTTATTGCTAACACGTTAGATGAATTACACTGTCCAACTAATCTAAACTTTTTTTCTGATCTGCAGTATCCATTAGAGGATCCTTAAAGTTATTGAAAACAGTTTTTGAAAAACATCAGCTTTTGTAAATACACCCGATTTTGCCCAAAAATGACGTATTACGTGCAAACTAAAAACGCCAGGAAGTGCAATTTAATCTTAAAAAATAGAGGAAAGTTCCCTGCATACAGCAGTGTATTTAGTTATTAAATTGTGTAATTCTTAATGGTTGTAAATAGCTGTGAAAGTTTAAAAAAGAGCCGATGTGCGTATTTTCTATACACGCTTTTTGCATTTTTACGAAAATTTCTTTACCTAGTACGAATTTGCTACACAGTATCAGAATCTGTAGACATTTCTGAAGAAGAAACCATCCAGAAAAAGTGTCGAAACGCTTTTTAATGGAACAGGTCGAGAAGGTATCCGTCGGGAACGTGTGCGCAACGTTTTACCGCCACGCGGCCATTGCTTGTTCACCCGGACTCCTCAGTGCCGTAGCTACGCGTAATCGACATCGATATATCGTCCAATGGGCATTTCTTTGCTATATGTATAATATTTGATTTTCTTCATGTATTCTTGGATACTAATCATGTAATTATAAACATTTGATTAATTCTGATTAGTGCAAATTCTGACTGTCGCTTGGTTATAAATATTTGAAAAATTTTGTTAAACTACAGCCTGTAATCTCGTACCTGTAACATTGTTCACGTAAACAAATTTAAAAATGTTTTCGTCTTGCTTGACGTTTCTACGCAGTATCATTATTGTTGTTCATAAGTGTCCAGCAATATGCAAGTATTGCGCCCATGTCCATTCCTTGGTACCGTTTTTCCATGTTGGATATTGTATTTTGGTGGAAACGTTCTCCATGCTCATCACTCACGTCACCGAGATACCGAGATTTCGTGGAAAAAAGTCTAGATAGGAATGTAAAAAGTGCATTTTTAGGGACATATTGCAGCCAAGTTTTTTGTAATTTTTAAGAAGACTGACTTGTAATATTACAAACACTGACAATTGTAATGTAATTTTTTGATCTATGGTCGCCGAGAAAATTTTCTGTGGTTTTCTTTAAATGAAAGCCCCATACTCCTTTTTTCAAATTATTCAACTTGTCGGTAAAATTTTGGTCTCTCATCAAATCTCTGATTTTGGGGCCAATAAGTATGCCATCTTTTATATTCGCATCAGATATGCGTGGAAATGTTGTTTTCAAGTACAGTAGCCGCTCTTTAATTGCATATTTCGGGGCTGTAGAGGGTCAGAATTCGAGGAATTATGCAACAAAACGTGCGCCAATCACCCGAGCGCTTTCCCCACCACTCGGCCGTTCGGTTGTGCGACTCAGCCATATACATATAGGATAGGCTGAATATACGCACTTTATTGACATCTTAATTATCTCCGTTATTTTTAGA